AAAAAAAACAAAAATATAAATATATAAATAAATAACGATATTATAAAGTATAATAGACACCGCGCGACAACTTCAGCGCGATAAAGTTATTGCGACACTCGCTATCGGCAACGGCGACAAATTAATTGACGTTTTTTTACCCCCTCCGTGAGTCGCATGGGTCTGTCATACCCATGCGACTCGTAAAGCATTTTTTTTCTAAAAAATGAGCGTTGCTATGCAAAAAATTTTAACAGCATGTTAATCTAATTAAAAAGTTTGAGGAATATTAATTTTTTCAAATTTTTCAAAAAATATTTAATAGTAAAAAATTTTGACTGAAAATCGCGTCGGGTCTGTCAGACCCATGCGACTAACAGAAGGTTAACTGATCTCCCACAATATACAACCAATTACAGTAGAGCTTCGATTATCCAAAACAATTTGTGACTGGGGTTGTTTGGATAACTGATTTTTCGGATAATTGATCATATACGAAAAATATATTAACACAAAACTGTACTGTATATAATCTGTATCACGCGTCTTACAAATTAATACCTTACATAATGTAGTACATTAAAGTAGGCCTACAATTTACGTTGGCAGGGAAGGGGAGAGTGCTGCAACGCCACGGCACTACCAGAAATTTGAATTTGCCGACCGGAATGCTTTCGGTTAACCGATGTTTCGATTGATCGGTATTCGGATAATCGATGCTCTACCGTAATTAGAATTGTTCGTTGAAATAAATCCATGCATCTTCCTTTTTGCTTTTACAAAATAATTAAATCTTCTATGTAACAAAGCTGTGAACGTGTCGCCATACCGTCTTTAAATTGTACGAATACTGTAGTTTCTAAGACATTCAAACATATATCAGCAAAATATTCAGCCATTGGCAGACCAACCTTTGTTGGTATCATTTTTGTAAAGTATGGACCAGATTTTTGCTTCTAAATGAAGAAACAGACTTTTTATAATCCGCGACTGATTCCTTGGCAGGATTTTAGATCAAATTTTTGTAATCTTGATCACAATGCTGAATAAATATTTATCACTCAGCTTCTAAAATTATTTAAACATTTTATTTTATATTTATGTTAAGTAAGAACGGAGCAAATAAAGTTACAATTAAGACATTTTAATTTTAAAATTCATATATAAGAGGAATAGCTATATAAATCTTCAAAATTTTTTGTTTCAGAGAGGCTTGGTGGTCTTTTGAATCCTTTCCAGCGTCGCTGGTGTGCTATAAAAGATGGAATACTATATTATTTTGAAAGACCCACAGACAGAAGACAGAAAGGTGAGATACCATTAGCAGGATATAGAGTTAATCCGGCACCCACGGCAACAAAAGACGTTAATAAACGCGATCTATGCTTTGAGTTGACGTGTCCAGGAAGAAAAACGTATCAGGTTCGTATTAATTCTTACGTGAAAATTTTAATAAATTTATTTGGTCTCCAAACACACCGAAATAGCACGCTATTTTAAATAAATCTAATTTTGCAGTTTATGGCATTAACACCGAAAGACGTTAAACAATGGGTAGCAGCAATTGAAAGAAATAATAAAATGTCTCACAATGGTAATTCAAACAAACATAAGTTTACAATATATGATATTAATGCTTTCTTATTTCATTTTATAAGTTTATCTTTGCAAGTGCCTTTAGTTTATATTTATATAAAACAAAAATCCAAAAGACGAACAAATAATCAAACACAGATTCATTGAAAAAAGAAAGAAGTAAGACAAAATATGTTTATTTCAAAGGCCATTCTTGAGAGGATCGGAATTTTTATTTGTTAAGTTGAAGTCTGTTATAAAGAAAGGAAACAGTATTTTAATTTTCTTTAACAAATCTTTTCAAACTATATTTACTTCTAATTATTATCCAATTTATTCCTGAAAATCCTTTTTTAAAAGTGAAGGGGTTAAGGAGCATGAATCATCATCATCATTTCTTCTAGAGTGGAACGAACCAACCTGGAATGCAAATTTGATTTGCAGAAAACAAAAAAAAAATTGAAATAATTAGTTTGTTATTTATGGTACAGTACAGTACTTCTTTACTAGAAAGCTGTCTAGAGACATTTGTTTTTGCCAACGCTTGAAAATCTGCATTATCATAAAATAAATTTGTAGCACGCACGTCAGCCTTATTAGGGTGACGTTTCTCAATGTACTTGGTGTGTTTATTGTATAATGGGCTACGGTTGTTGACGTTTATATGTAATATGCATGATTACGAGCGACACTAAGTTGCTAGCAGAACGAGTGCTAAGCACAGACTGACGTAGCATGCGCACAATCCGCAACTTCCCCTCTCCTCTCCTCGTGCTAGTCATTTTTTTACAATTTGTTTTGCTCATTAAGCAAGATTTCACTGTATTTTTAAATAATGAGAAGTAATCATTTTGACAATGCATTTTTGAATGATTGAATCTAATTGCAATATTACTAAGTTTTACGTATGGATACATACTATTTTTTGGTAAAAATTACTTTCTAATCATTGGAACTTTTATCACTTGAAGCTCCATGTTATCCGAAAATACTTCTGAAACAGAGTAATTTCTAGTAATTTTGTTTCTCAGTTTATGAGAATTGAAGATACTTTTGCTTTTTTAATATTTAGCCTTGTATATTACTGCCATTGATGTTAGTGAGAAATATATTTGGCATCAACAACATGTCAGGTAATCTTATGGTTTGGTTTTGATGATCACGCCTAGTAGTGGTGCAATCAGGAAATATTGCATCTTCACACGTTGCCTTTCATGGCAGGACTGCAAATAGCCATTTTCCAGCAAGATAATGCTCAGCCACCTACAACTAGGGTTACTCAGAAATGTTTCCATCATATTGCCTCATTTCCTTGGCCTGCTCAGTCTTCTGATTTGTCACCTATTGAGCACTTGTTGGACCAAACAACAATAGCACTGGCTGCCTACAAATGTGTGAGATCTGGAGTAGTAGTTGTAACTGTTGGCAAATCTGTCATAGAATAGCACATGGTGCTATGTGCCTCATTGCCCAATGGAATCACTGCACCTATCTAGACAAGAGGTACAGTACATATGAGGTGTACTGTTCCACATGTAAAGTTGTCCTTTTGTTATGATACGGTAATCACTTATTACTATTGTCATTACGTTTGCACTAATAGTTTCATTTGATTCCACGGCATCACCGGTCTGTTGGCAAAAATTAAAGTACACTCATTGACAAGAAAATCACACACGATTTTCTTGTCAATGAGTTACATATTCTTTAGTAATTAACCAGATTAGTCTTTCAGAGATGGAGGATTGTTCAGCTTTTTACAGTCTTCCATCCCCCTATTCCTATTTTCAGCCAGTCTTTGTTCTCTGAAAGAGTATTTGAACTGAGGCTTTGTTTTTGTTTTAAAATATTTTATATGTAATTGTTTCAGAATGTTAAAAGTGGTACATTGTTTAAGTAAGGTTGGTTATGGATTACAGTGTACACTATTTAGAGGTAAATATAATAATGTCCTATTTGAAGGATTTGAGGATTGTAAAAACGTCCATTAAGCAGAAGTGTCTGTTAATAGAGGTTTGATTGTGTTATTTTAGTGTATCAATGGTTAAAGAATATATTAGTACTTTACAGACTTAGTCTGCAACTCAAAAAATGTACATGGCCTGCCAGAAACCTACAAAGCTCTCTTATGGCCTCATCAATATAGATTGTTTATAAGAATAAACTAGCAGTGCTTGCAAAAATAATTTGACTGTGTCTGTTAGAATAGCATTGAGCACTTGCATTTTCATTTATTTATTTCCTAATAAACCAATTTATCTGTTAACAGCTAATAGTTTGGAGATTTCGACAGCAAATGAATTTCAGAGAGACTCGTCTACTTTGGGATCCGTGGAGAGCGACGAGGATAACATTTACGAAATGGTCGACGAGACGGGTAATCAGACCAAATTTCCAAAAGGAGCGAACGATGCCGAAAACGAACCTCTGTACGTGGAGGGAGAATCGTGCGATCAAAACGATCTGTATACCGATGCCGAAAGCACGACAAACGAATGGGAAAATTTTAATCCCCAAGACTGGTATGTCGGACTGTGGGACTGTAAAGGAGACGACAAAAACGAACTCGATTTCTTGCGCGGAGATCTTATTCACATAATTAGCAAAGAGTACGATTCCTGTGCCTGGTGGGTTGGTCTTTTGAAAGGCAAAGTTGGATTAGTACCAAAATCGTATCTAATGGAAGCTTATGAAGCAATCTAATATTTGATGATTTTTCCTAAGCCTTTAAGTTGCCTTTTCTGTAAATTCTCTCTCTCTTTTTTTGTTATTGTATGAATTTAATTTTTATATTTATTATCATTTTATAATCGGATTATTACTATTACTATATATTTTAAATAAAACACACTTTCAATATAGATTATTTTATCTGTATGTAATATTACTTTTCTGTGCTCAACACTAAAGTTGGGATGTGCAAGGACTTAACAATATCTGCTTCCTCCTATTTTATTATAGAGCTTTCGGCATGCAACATCTGAATAATACTGTGGTGTTTTGTTTTATATATATATACACCAATTAAAACTAATTCAATTATTTATTAATATAACATATTATATCAAATCGTTTATAAATAGAATATTTAACAATTTAGCATAAAGTAATTTAAAAATGAGTACATAATAATTGATTGTCAATGTCATTTAAAAGTGTGGCGAACCTTATCTCACCGAAGTCAGGTGCCGAGAGTACCACCAACAGTCGTTCTAGGAACTGGACTCTGACCCTAGGACTGAACACGTAGTATTTTCTTTGTTAAATAAAATTTGTAATCTAATTTTGTAAATTTCAGAGTGCTTCAAATATGTCGTTAAAACAGGGTTTTATTTCGTTACAAGTGGGTTTTTTAATAGTATTTATTATAGTAAAATTGTGGGACCGATATTTGACATTATATTAGGGTTGTCGTTACATCCGATGATGTTATCAGATTAAACTGTATTTTGTTATAATCTTCCATTATTTTTGTATTTAAATTTGTTATATTCTTATCTTCCATTATTTTTTGTATTTGATTTTATATATTCTATTTTAGAACAGTCATTTTTCATATTTAACCTGAGGATGGATGGACTATTGAATAGGCTGAAAACGTTAGTTTACATTTAAATAAATTATCTCAGACCACCAACTACACCTTGAGTTTCAAGGCTGGAAGACTACAGTAGTCAGAGATGATGTCATGACAGTCAGCAGCAGCAGCTGATCAGCTCTCTCGTTCCCTGCAGTACCACAGTGCCCTCTGGTCCACCCAATAGAAAAACTGTTGGAACTAGTTGAGATGATGTTGACAATGCCCCTGCATAGTGGTTGAAGACTGTCCTTGTTTTACAGGGCATGCATGTCGGTGATGATAATAATCGCCCTTCGAACAAGATTCTCGTTGCACCAACGAACTGCCAAAAGAATGGCAAGGACCTCAGCCTGAAAGACCGAGCACTCTGGATGAAGAACACATGTCAAAAAAAATTTCTTTTTCTCCTGAAAACACAGAAAAGGTACACCCAGTACCATTACCATTGGTGAAAAATTCCACATCTAGTAAATAACCCTATTTTGCACATAGCCCCCTCCAGTGAGTGGGGTGTGGAAAGGGGTAGTTGACAGGTTGAAGTTCATCTACTTTTCTGTTAACCTCATACATTGCCAAAGGGAAGTTACAGCCTCCAATATTGACCTCAAACCATCTGAAGATAAAATATCGCTTAGCAGTCTGTTGAAGCTGTAGGTGGATGGGAAGGTTTTTGGCAATGACCTGCAGGGAGTGATTGGAGGAAATAGAGTATGCATGGGTGAGCCAGATCAAGGCCCTCCTCTGTGCCGACAACAGTCTTCTCTGTGCCTGTAATGTGAGTGGTCACAGGCTACACTCCAAACTGCACACGCATAAGTGATTATTGGTGTGAACACACAATTGTAAATTGGGTTGAAGGCATCAAAACCCAGACCCCACTTATTCTTGGCAGCTCTTTGCAGACTGCTGAAGATAATGTTTGTTCTATCTGTAACGTGTTTAATATGTGCCTGCCAGGTAAGTCACTTGTCCTTTTTATGCCCAGAAATTTGAGCTTTTTAATGATTTTAACAGACTGCCCTTTGATATAAGTCTGTATTGTGTGGCCTTGAGAAAACAATACCTCTTGTTTTTAATGCTTCAAAAACAAGTTTCAGTGTTGTGTGACTAGGACAGGCACAACAAATGATACTAGAAGCTGCGGTCTTGACGGCTTGCCTGGAGTTTGCAGGAAAGATGATGAATGCATCATCCACATAAGCAACGATGTGGCTATTGAAACTGAAGTCTGTTCTTAAGAAGTTATCAAAAAGAATGTTCCAAAAAGGGGCACACAGACAGACCCCTGTGGACAGCACCTCTGAAGTTGACAGGTAAAAATATTGTGGCCCTATGACATGGTGGCTTCTCTATCAGAGAGGAAGTTCTAGGTGAAAAAGGTTTGCAGGGTAGCCACAAAGCAGTGTTGGATGCATTTTTGAAGATCAAGACTAATCCCGAAGATGTTCAAGCAGTTGCCATATGTTGTTAGTGAGATCAACTAGGACATTGTCATGCACCTCTGCCAACAAAAGTCATATTGAGCAGGATGAAAAAAACCTGATACCTTTCAGATGCCAGGAAAGTCTGTCATAAAGGAACCTGTCAAGTACCTTTCCTAAAGAGGTGAGAAGTGAGATGTTCCTCATGTTGCTTAAGGTGTAGAGGGTTTGTTTTTTGGGAATCACCACCAGCCTCAGTTTTGGCATCTTTCCCAGTCCTGGAAGAGGGCTCACCTCTTCCAGGACTGGGAAAGATGGAAAGATACCAAACCTGAAGCACAAGTTGTATGTATTCATCGTCATGTCAGGATGAATCTTCCAAATCTCCTTGACGATTTTTGATGATATGCAATCAGGACCAGGAGCTTTGTTCTCATTAAGTTTATTAATAATGTCACTAACCTCAAAAAAGGTGAAGAGGATTGTCAGTGAGCTCCCTCACTGGAACAAATGCCTTTGCTGCAAGGAATCCTCCTCCAGATTGTCTGGAGAACAAAAGTGATAGAACATATGGTCCATAATGGTTTCCAGAGAAGCATTCTCTCCTCCAAGGTCATTGGAACTACTCAAAACACAGCGTATTTTAAGTTTATTTGAGAATAAAACTTCATCAATCCCTACCAGCATTGGAGCAAAAGTCTTTACATGATTCATACTTTGATTTTCTTATGGCATCCTTATAAAGAGGCTGACATCTGAGTTACTCCTCCCTGAAAGCATCACATTGATGATCCCGATATCATTGAAAATGTTTATCGAGTTGGTTGTTAGTACTTTCTCGTCACAGAGAGTTTGATACTCCACCATGGGGCTGCCTGTTGACCAAATAATTGCTTTCTAGGAATAGCCAGGTTGCAAGCCTTATCAATTCTTAGCAATCACATTGCAGGGTGTGGACAGCAATGCTGGTCGCATACGTACTATGGAGCAAGCAGTGAATTTCATTGACAGTGTATTAGCAAAAAGAATAATCTGCAGAGTTTGTATTGAAAGGTCTGTCATAATTGGGATGAAAGACTGACAAGCAGCATTCAGCTCAAAAGAGATATACCTATGATCGGAGAGACTATCCCTATCCTAACCTGTGATCCAATGAAGGGACATAGACCGCTCAAGCAGATGGTCAGATCAACCCACAACCTACCATTTGTAGAAGTAAAGGTAGGATGAGAGAAGCAATCATTCAGAATAATAAGGTCGCGCAAACTTACAAAGTTTTCAACCTTGCTCATCTAAATGCTTCTCACCCCAGGTGAGTGAGTGTGAGTTGAAGTCACCAACAATGAAAAACAAGGCATTATGAAAATGCTCCATCACTGAACTAAGATCACTAAGCATCTCGCGAATATTATGCTTAATTAATTAATGGAGTCATAGATGTTGAAAACAATCACATGAAGGTGAGGAACAGACACATGTTGGAAAACTGACCTATGGATGAAAGATCATGGGAAGATTAGAGTTGATGATGTCTGTGGCCTTAAGGAGATCCACATTGTGCTGCACGATATCACTTGTCCAGAAGGAAGAAACCCTGTTATCACGACAATATGGCTCTTGAACAAGAGTCACATCATAATGCTGTAATTCCTGACAACGCTGCGAGGCTGCAAATTGACCTGAATGAATCTAATTTTAACATCCCTGGTTTAATTTTAACATTTCTGGCTAAGAGCCAGAACCCGGGATGTTAAATCGATGAATTGATCCTAGCCATGAGTTGTGCATTGATACGAAGACAAACAAGGCATGCTCTGTCAAGAGTATTATAGGAGTTGCCTGAAATCTTTTCTCTACTGCAGTTACAGCAAATAGGGTGTTTCGATTTCTTGTTACAGTGCTTAAAAGAATGGTCACCTCTACATTGGCTACATGAATGCATTTTAGTGACACATTTAATAGCATAATGACCAAACTGAAGACCCTTAAAACATTGACTAACTGGTATATAGTCAACAACACTACATCTCGTCCATTGCAGATTAATCTTTCGACATTTCATTAGTTTCACCCTCAAAATGGGGAAAATCTCAAGCACTCAAGTAACGGACATCAGATTCTTCTAACTAATAGGTAAACAAACACATGCTTGATCAAGGAAATCTTTTAAAGACACACAGAAGTTTTGGCATTTTGTTTGAACATGAAGTCAAGTAGGTAATGTCAACTAATGGATTTAGGAACCAAGATAACTTTGATAAAAGGATTGTGCTATTTAGGAACAGTGGCACCTAGGGTAGGAACCTACTCAACTGCATTCTGCAGTTTGTCCACTTCAATTGCAAACCCACCTTTTTGAATTCTATGTATCCTTTGGATGCCAATCTTCAGCATGTGTGGCTTGATACTGCTAGTCAGAATATGCCTGGTGTTCTCAGAGTCTTCAGGACCTGAATCGTCATAGATGAGAACAGTGAAATAAAGGGTTACAGTAGTCGACCCTGCCTTATCCGATTTAGTAGGTCTACGAACAACCTCACTAAAACTGGGGCTAGGTTCAGGCCCCACGCATACTCCTCTCTGGCAGCAAGTGGAGGAAATACACTGAAGGCCTTTAATGGTCTCTTGGCCTCAATGAGAATTTTCTCGGCTTTCTCAGAATGAACTGACAGCAACCCATTGTCTTGTTTCATTGCAATGTTGTCAATGTTATTAACAACAGAGAGGTGATTGTAAACAGAGAAAGTAGACTCAGCTAGGTCGATGACGCACTGGACCTAGTTTACAATATACTTGGAGTGCTTACAAGTACCTAAGCAAGACTTGCTGTTATCTACTAGATAGCCCTTGACCTCATCCAGAATCCTGTATGCCATGTCGCAAAATTCAGAAGGACCGAGCTGAAAGTGCAGAAAAAAGTGGAAGCTCAATCAGAATGCTGGTCCACCAATAGAACCCCAAAAGTGGAATGATAGTAATAAAATAACAAAATAAAAAA